TTTTTTTTTTTTTTTTTTTTTTTTTTGGACCATTTCTCGATTTATGCGTGTCATCCTTGAGTGCGCAGGGGCCATGCTAATCTATCTTCTCTGTATCGTTCCAATTTTAGCAGATGTCCCGAAGGACAAATAACTTAAAATAACTTAATAAGTTTGATTTTGTTGTTTTGTTTTCAAAAGGTATTGAAGAATTGTCAAAATGCGAAACCAGTTTGTGACAGCAGCTGCTACCTTAGCTCAGAGAGCCTGTGCTCTTTTTTTTTTTTTTTTTTTTTCCTTCCCCCAGTTCTTTCCGGTCAGCCATACTGCTGTAAATCCGTTCCCATGCCCAAGCCTTGTACTCACTATGGGATTGGTGGTGGTGGGTGTGGGGGGGGTTATGTGACAGATTGGAAGAGCATCCAATAAAGCTCGCATACACAAGCACAACGACAAGTCAACGAAGACTTGGAGAAGAGAATCCACACCAGACCGGTGTGAAGATGATGCACAGACGTCGGACGAAGCACAAATACTCAATTAGAATCTAGAATTGATTAAAAACTATTAAAAAGTATTAACAAAAACTCGACCCACCGTCCCCCCTTCCTCTCCACCTCAATCAGCTGAACCATGAAACCAAGAAGAATCTCAACTGAGTTAACAACAGGGGTTATGGTTTACCCCAAAACAAGCTCAACACAGGCTTCATCAAGCCTGCAGGAGTCTTCTTCCTCCCTCCTTCAACCTCCTCTCCGAGTCTCAGATCCTGGCTATGACGCTCATGCAGGAACCTGGCTATGGCACCCAGCCCTCCTGAGTCCTAACCTGTAGACCACCAGCGCCTGGTACACCCAACACCGCTCTCTGGGGAGTCGTGGGGACCACCACCTCAGCAGACCTTGGTTCCAAGTTCAAGAAACTTGGAATCACTGACATCAGTGCGTCTCTAAACCAACCCATAACCGACAGCGCAAGCCAAGACTCCTCTCAGCCTCAAAATGGACATCGCCAGCTCCTCTTAGGAAGAGGAAGAAGTACACTCCAGCTTGGGGAAGAAGATACAGCCAGCACAAGTTGCAGATATGGCAGCGCCTAACTCCGACAGCACAGCAGCTATGGTGTCACGAGGCTCAGCACCTGAAACACCTGCTTCAGCGCTGGATCTGATCCGCTACCGTCTTCACCTGAATATTATAGCCGTATTTGGTGCAATTTTCAGTCTACATACAGCGATAATGACCGGGCGTTCTATTCGGGTGAAGACGGTAGCCGCTATGGCGCTGCTCCAGCAGCCTGGCGGCTTCAACAACAATCTTCCAGCAGCTTTTCACCCACTGCAGACCAACAGGCCAAAGACCTCTCTACCTCTACTACCTGACTCTATTTATAGTTCTCCGCAGACCAACAGGCCAAAGACTTCTCTACCTCTATTACCTGACTCTATTTATAGTTCTCTGCAGACCTACTGGACAGGATCTCTATTAGATTCTCTAGGACCTAAGACACAGCTAAAAATAAACGGCCTGACTTTTGTAGTAATGGTGGGACCAGTCCTAGGCACTACCGTCTTCCCCCGAACATAATGCACCCTAAAAATGAATGTATACAAGCTATATTTCCGGCCAGATGCAGCCAAAATAAGGGTGCGTTGTGTTCGGGGGAAGACGGTCGTAGGCACTCACCAAGAGTTAACAGTCTCTTGCTGCAACTGTAGCGAACGGTCACCAGTGCTTTACCGTACCGAAGAGTCAACTTAGGCCTGGACGAAGGGGTTTTTTTTTTTTTTTTTGTCCTTCCTGGACGAGGTTTAGAGCCAGTAGTACCGAATCTTAGGAAATTATTACAGAAATGTCCCTGTCGGACTAGGCCAGTTTTAGTTACAACTTACAGGTTAGGACCCCAAACTTCAAAAAATTGCAAAAATGTCCTGATTACAGTTACAGCCCGCTGAGAAACTGCAAGTTCATTGCAAGGAGAGAGAGAGAGAGAGAGAGAGAGAGAGAGAGAGAGAGAGAGAGAGAGAGGGAGAGAGAGAGAGAGAGAGAACGCTCCTGTCCTTGCTTAGCACACACACCATTGGATGGGAGCTGACCATGCCCCAGGTTGGAACTCTACCCAGTTTATCCGAATCAAATGTACGGTCATGATTGCTGTACCTAGATTGGAAGTGTCCCCAAATACAGCCACAAGGATGTGGCTTKTTTTTTTTTTTTTTTTTTTTTTTTTTGGTTGATTATAGGCAGTAAATCACAACCATGTACTATGCGGTATGTTATCAATAACATTAAGTTAACAGTGAATAAATTAAATATTTAATAACATCTAATATGGACATACTAATAAGTAAGTAATAACATTTAATAACATGTGTATGTGTTTCTTAACTTCTGTGTTTGGAAATTGGATGGAAGATGTCTGCAGAGACACAAATTCTCTCTCCTCTGGTTCAGACACGGAAAGCCACCTTTCTGCGCTACTGCAAACAGGTAAGGGGCAGGGACACCCCTCCAGGGGGGTTTGAAAGTCACCTACTTTTTTTTTTTTTTTTTTTTTTAAATAACTACATTCATGTCATGTTCCTATTCACATCCAGCAAGTCCCTTCTTTTTTTGTCCTTTTCCTCTTTTTTTTCATATAATTGTTTTTCTTTTAATTCCTATTCTGTCAATGTTCACAAATCCTTGCTTTCCAAAATAAGGGGACCCTGAGTTCTCAACATTTATCTTTTTTTTTTTTTTTAATCACATTGCTGGATTGTCAAACTCAAAGAGAGCACGGTTTTAATTTTCTCTTCTTCTTTTTGTTCTGATCTGACTTTCAGCTCTTAAAATAATGTTGTTCTTTTTTTTTTAAGGTAAGTACGGTCACGTCACCTTTGAGTATCGAATGGGCAAAAAAACACGCGTCGGCAAAAGAATATAATCTGGGGGGAAGGCCATATTATTTAAAAAAATAATAATTAAAAAATCCCAGCCTTTCCCACGCTACCATAGTGGCCCGGGGCCACATGCGCGGCTGGCCGGGGAAAAAGTAAAAATGTATTTTAAATCTGGTAAAGAATTTCCGTGTGACCCTGAGGCAAACGTTGTTCAGTTTATTTTTCTGCATAACATAGTGTTCTTTTCTCGGATTTTTTGGATTTTGTGTTTTGCTGGGACCTTCCCCGGTCCTTGCACTGCTGGGCCACCCAGGCAAACAAGGTGCCCTCGGCGGCCTTGCTGGTAGCCCATATAGAGTCTGAATATCAGACAATCAGGTAAACCACCACTACCTTTCACAGGCTATCATTATGTCGAAGACTTGAAAGTTTCGAAACCCTAAACCAAAATGTATCATTCCGCAAACTTCAGAGGCCAGGGGGCTACCAGAGGCCAGGGGCTACCAGTCGGAAGTTACCGGCCTCTGAAGTTTTTTTTTAAATTTCAGAGGGCCAGTAACTTCAGTTTTGAAGTTTTAACATCCACTACGGTCAGAAGTTACCGGATCAAAATGGCTGGCGGCACCAGTCGGAAGGAAAAAGAAACGTCGCAATGGTGCTTTGGCAAAGCTTGGCACAATTGTTTTTTTTTTGTGTCTTGTCAAAGAGAGACTCGGAGGTTACCGTAGTGGATGTTAAAACTTAAAACAGCTCAAATATTTAAAAAAAAAAAAAACTTTTTCTTTTTCTTTTTCAGATTTTTTCTTTTTCTTTTTCTTTTTCTTTTTAGTTTTAGTTTTAATATTATTTTTATTTTTATTTTATTTTTTCAACTCAAATAAAACAACCCTAAACCCTAAACCCTAAACACCAAGCGTACCAATGCTGCTTCTGCTGCTGCTGCCTTTTCACTGCTGTAGTTTATTAAATATATTTTACATTCTTCTAATTTTTCTGTTACAAGTTCTTACTGTAATTTACTACCACCATTAGCAGCAGTAACAAGAGTGGTTCGAGAATTAGGAGTGGTTACCGTAGTAAATTACAAGAGTAAGGATTTACTCAGAAGAATGTAGCTATTACTACAGTGCTGTTTGCTGCTTCCTTTTTTCTTATGCCCGTCAGTGATCCCTTGACATAGACAGCGACATAGTAGCTATGGTGAGTGTGGACATAGTAGCCATGGTGAGTGTGGATAGAATCGTTGCGTAGAGCTGCTACTAGAGCATGCGCCAGTCTTTGCACTTCGTAGTCGAGGCTTTACCCTTTGTCTGGGCAATTAATGCAATGGAGTGAAATGTGATACAGCAAGGGGTGTTTTCACTGTTTTGGCTGTTTGCTGACTGAAGGTTGTTTTGCTGATCAGCTTCCTGAAGGCTATTGGGGTATTGTGGACTTCTCGACAGATGGTTACGGCAACAATCCATCGACAGGAAGAGTGAGTACTTTGTTGTTGAGTGCCAAAAAAAAAAAAAAAAAAAAAAAAAGGAAAAGGAAAAAAAAAAAAAAAAAGAGCAATTCCATATAAAATAGCTCAAAATTTCAGAACTATTAGTTATGATGATGTATTTGAGCACCTAATAGCATGTGACCTACCCAATAATCATGTCATGGAAATCCTCAAATTCTTTAGAGACAACGGTTCTATGATTCTATCAACTTCTATATACATTGTACATTGTACATTGTAGACTGATACCAGAAACCCATGGTTTATTGCTCAGGAAAATAGTACTCGCGTAGAGCGTCAGAGTGAAATGTGGGTATGCCTGCCTCTCTGACTCATATTTGATCGAATAAAACTTACTCTTTTGCGCCTCAAATTCATGTTTCGTTGGATAAAAGACCCGTCTTGGATCTCAAAGTCATGTTTGACTGTACAAAATTATTCCCTTGCTTCCCAAAGTCATGCGCCACTGCACAAAATTGCTCACTTGCTCCTCAAACTCATGTTTCATTGGATAAAAGTACTCTCTTGGGCCTCAAAGTCATGGTTGACTGTACAAAAGCACTGCCTTGGTTCCCAAACTCGTCCTTCCCTACACAAAAAAGCTCCCTTAGATTTATTTTCTGTTTATATGTATATTCTTTCATTCTCTATTACATGAATTATTACATAA